TGGTTCTGGGAGAGACGGATTCAAGATCTAAATGTTATAACTTATATACTTGAATTTGAAGGCACCATAAGGTACACACTATATTCGCCTCAGGTATATTGAGTCGGTGATGATTAAAATTTGAAATTTTAAATTAATGTGTTAAAAGTTAAAATGGTGCTTATGAGACTTACAAGGTTTTTTTTTTTTTTTTTTTTTTATAACAGGGGAAAATTGCAGCCGCTTTTCTTTGGGTGCACAAGGGTAAAACTTTCGCTCCTATGCAATAGCTCGCAAATCACATAGGAGAGGTAATCCGCACTAGACAAGCCCGATGCGACGAGCTCTACCCGAAGGCAAACCCCTTGCTTTCGCTGGCAAGGAATTTCAAACTTGAGACCTCCAACATGGAAGTCCCAAGCCCAAACCACTGGGCCACCTCAAAGGGTAACTTACTAGGGGTTTTCCTTGATTATTATCAGAAGTTAAATTCAAATTAGGCAATGAGATGAGGAGAGGGGCAGTATGTACAAGGTCTTGTAAGAAATTCATCTCTTATGAAGATCAATAAATATTCATTTTTTTTCCGCAAAAATTTGGGAGTTTACATTCATCATAACATGAGGATTAAATCATAAAGCAAGACAAAATAAACTCTTTCAATCTTATTTATGTAGATTCAATTATTTATGAATTATGATAGTATATACAATTTTTTAATATAAATATGTTTATTTGTATACAAAATTTGAGTTGAAGATGGTTATCTAGGTTTTGGCGGGAAAGTGGCTTCACAACTTTTGATGCTTAGTTTAACGACAGAAATTAATCAATAAAAAAGTTTAGGATTTGGAACAAACCTTTGTCATTTAGTAGCCTCGAGAGATCTAACTTCTCAAAAATGTACTAATGTTAATCCTTAATTTATGAGTTACTGTTTTTTTTTAAAATTCTATTTAAAATGAATATCATTTTTATAATTAAAAATATATTATCTTCAAATTTTTGCTTTTATTTTTAATAAATTAATTCATCTAAATATTTTTTTTAGATTAAATTTTTGCTTATTCAAACCACGTATACTTGAATTGAGACAAAAGAGTAATAATTCTTTATTGACATAGAACAAAAATTGTTTGCACATGTGGACCACATTAACTTTGTCTCTATGAGAAGGTGTGTGGACCATCCGAAGAAAAAAAATCAAAATTTTCCTCCCTGCTCCCACTCTTTTGCTTTCTTGGCGACTTAAATTCGCAATTATCAAATTAGAAATGAGGGGTGCTTACCATTCAAACAACTCTCTCTCGTCTAAACTTTTTATTAATTATTAATTATGATTAATAAAAAATATTTTTTTAAATGACTTTTTGAATAAAAATAGAAATAACAGATTTAATAAGTGACATTCTACTTTTGATTGCTTCCTCTTCATTAACCTCAACACCTAATCCCGACTTCAGATTCCACACCACCACCACCTCTACGCTTTCGCTCCTCTTGCCTTAAATTCCACCTGTGCCTACCATTTTTAGTTCTTGAATATTTGTTTAAATTATATAAAAATACTTGTTGAATAATTTTTTTAAGGGAAAATGGCCTAATATATTCCTCAACTTTGCTATTTGGAGTTGATATGCCCCTCGTTATGAAAGTGGTTCATATATACCCTTACTGTTATACAAACGGCTAACATATACCCCTACCGTTATAAAATGAGCTCACATATACCCTTCATTTAACGGAAGTGAAAAAAATAGTTTTAAAGTTATATTTTTGACTTTTGATTTTTAAAAAAATTATTTAGGGGTATATATGATTTTTCTAGCAAATTTCAAGGTATATTTTAATTTTTTTCGGACATAATTATTTTTTTGACTTTTTGATTATCATTATTTGAGTTTCTTATTCTTATTTTATTTTTTCTTTCATTCCTTAGTGTAAAGAAAAAAATTTAAAACTTTTTTTTTCGGATATAATTTAGTTTTTGTATTTGAAGAAAAAAATTGGGTCATCTATAATAAATTTTACAAGAATATTAACAAAACTTAAATAAATTTGACCATCAAAATAATAAATCTAAATTAGTCATTGAAACAAAAAAAAAGTTAAAAATAATAATATATGTTTGAGGAAGATTAAATATACCCATATGGGATTATATTTTTTAAAAATAATTAAAAAATTTAAACTAAAATTAATTTTTTCACTTCCGTTAGAAGAAAAGGTTATATGTGAACCATTTGTATAACAGTAGGGGTATATATGAGCCACTTTTATAACGAGGGATATATCAACTCTAAATGACAAAGTTGAGGGGTATATCAGACCCTTTTCCCTTTTTTTAATATACTTATCAAATATCAAAAAATAAATAAAAAATAACTTATTTTTCACGAAACTTAACATTAAATATATGAAAGAAAGTAAAGGGTGGGGAAGGGCGAATGTGAGGGAGGTCATATCTTATTTGATACATATATTTCAAACTTCATTATAAGTAAAGGAATTTACGTTTCTTGCTACAATAAATCAAATTTAATATTCCAATAAAGAAAAGAGTAAAGAAAATAAAAGACAAAAAAATGAAACTTGTTAATGGTTAAATGTTCTTTGCTTTACTTCTGGAACAAACACAGAACATCATACCTAATTTCACATTGTATGTCTCCAATATGTCGAATCTTTCAACTTATATTTGAGTTGAGAAGTAACATAAATTATATTAGTATTTTAATCAAGAAATATCTAATTTTAATTTTATCCATATGAGTTGTGGTAAAATGATAGAGATCCTCCATTTTTAACTAGATGTTTAGGATTATGTTATGGGAGAATAGAAAAAATTATGTTGGGAGACACCAAGTGAAAAATCTATTAATCTATCGTTATCGTTAGTAGTATTAACTATAAAGTCATTAAATAATTTGATAATGACCAAATTTGAATATTATGCTTGTATTTTAAGTCGAATAAATAGATGTCTTATGATAAGCACTTTACATAATCATCGTGTTGAGACCCTAATCAAAAGAAAGATAACCAAAAGAAGTATAATTAGAAGACTCATCTTATTACCCCATGATTATGTAAATTCCTTGCCCTAAGACGTCTATAGTAAGCTTTTGGACATAAAAAATGCGATTTTTTATTTTATAAAATAGTAATACTTATTTGAAAAGAGATTGAAAAAGTATTCAGAAGTCAAAATTTATGTTTGGACATGTATTTAGCTAGAAAAAAACTTCAATTTTCAAGATATTTTCATTAAAAAAATTTACGAAAAAAAAGAAGAAGATATTTTTTGGAGGATTCATCATATTAGCTGGAAATTTTGATTTTGCACGTTTTCCAAAATTATATTTATTTCGTACTAGTAGTAGTGTATATTTTACGTAAAACAAGATGGAAATACAGTAACTTTTTCTCAAAGTAGAAAAAAAAAGAACTCAACAGACGTTTGGGGTTCCTGTTATTGTCTAGTTAAAGGCTACACCAGAAAGAGGATAGTGTTGCTCTGAATAACTCAGAAGCAATGGAGCAGAGTGTCACGGGTTAGGCAGATCTCTCACTTTTTGTCCTTGTATTATGTTTTAAAGGCGTAGATTATGAAGTTGAAACTTGAAAATTTGTTATTTTTGAAGTTGAAACGAAGGGGAGTGTACGCCAAGCAAATTGGTATCCAGGATTCAGAGTTAGATGAGGAAGAACGGAGAAAGAATGGGAGTGGCGTTTATTTCAATATCTATAAACGGTATTGATCGAATTGATATATACGAAACTCTCCCTTGCAAATTGCTTGCTACTATGCATCTCAAAAAGGAAGAACGGAGAGGAGAATCCAGAGTCAGGATCTAGAATGAGGAAGAACGGAGGGAGAATGGGACGGTGTTCGTTTCAATATCTTTAAACGGTGACAATTTCTCAGAGTATTTGATCGAATTGATAGATATGAAACTGTTCTCTGCAATTTGCTTGCTAACTAAGCATCAGGGTGAATTGAGAGTCAGGATCTAAAATGAGGAAGAACGGAGGAGAACGGGAATGTGTTCATTTCAATATCTATAAACAACGGTGAGTGACAATTGCTCAGTTTATTTGATCAAATTGATAAATACAGAGACTCTCCCCTACAAATTGCTTGCTTCCATGCATCTCAAAAAGGAACAACGGGATGGGAGAATCCGGAATCAGGATCTAGAATGAGGAATAACGGAGGAAGAATGGAAAGGTGTTCATTTCAATATCTATAAACGGCGAACAATTGCTCGGACTATTTGATTGAATTGATAGATACGGAACTACCTGCAAATTATGCATCAAAAAAAGGAAGAACGGGATGGGATAATCCAGAGTCAGGATTCAGAATGAAGAAGAACGAAGCCCTGTGAATTGCTTCTCCTGGTCCTCTAATATAATTGACAAGGTTAGTGAACCAATACAATTAACTTTCAATACTAGAACTTATATCCTAGATTAAAAAAGGCATCACAGTCCACTAAGCTCGATCTATGCACAAGTCCGGGGAAGGACAGGACCACAACCGACTATTGTACTTAACCTTACCTTGCATTCCAAGGAGGTTTCAAAACCTCCTTGGGTACAACTTGCATCTCAGCAAAAGCTTCGCTTTTTTAGTGTTAGCAGTCAAGAAATAAACTCTGTTCTAGGCAAAACAACATATATGAAAGCCAATGAAAATCTGGCTCTATGTATGATACTATCAGGAACAATACAAAAGCTGCTAAGGCCAATTTGAACTAATCTAATCAGATTTACATATATCATAGTCTTAATAAATTCCCTCCTACTTTTTGTAAAGGAGGAAAACTAAATATTAAACCTGAGTACAAATATCCAGGTTTTTTAAATAACTATCCTGTAAGAGATAGGTACTCACAGCTCCTCTGCTGGTTCAACCTTTTTTCCTCAAGAAATCACCAGCTCACTGTTGAGTATCACCTCTTCTGAAAAAAGCTTGATTTATACATGATTTATCCGACTCAGCGTGTAGCATGTTACCAGGCCACTATCATTGCGATGATCACTGGCAAGGTAGGCTGCTAAGGTTGATCAAGCTTGTTGGTTAACCTGTTAAAAATAACAAATGATGGTTAATTATGACAAGGATCCAATAACTAAGAAATTTATTACTATGGAATGACATTTTCTGAGTATGTATAGGAGTGAACCTTGTGTTGGAAAGATAATTTTATTTTTAATTTTTGATATGTATATATAGAAAATTAGTTATGATAGATATATTGTTTTGGTTTGTTCATGAACTAGAGAAGATGAAAGAAAATCCGGAATTGAATTAAGTGCATGTAATAGACTAGGTATATGCTAGAAGAAAACCTATAAATACCTATGCAATGTGGTCCGGCCTTTCCCCAGATCTCGCACATAGCGGGAGCTTAGTGCACTGGGCTCAGCTGTCCTTATGTATGAATGTAGTAAATGATTATTTGAGATAGATCTAGTGTGATAGCTCCTCCGTTGATAGTTATGCCACACAGTTATTGAGTCTACTTGATTTATTGTTCATATAATTGATTTCCATATGAGTGATTTTGAATGCTGGTCCATATGATTAGTTTCAAAAAAAGTACATATAATGATTCTTGTTACAGTGATTTCTATTCGTCATGGATGTGAACCTTATAACACTCTGATTAGTCTCTTCTTCAACCCTTTCAAAGCGGAACAAAAAAGAGAGGAAACATACCCCACATGTCCTTGGTCCACAGTTGCACAACCCTCAATTTGTGTCGCTTGAAACACCTCGGAAACAGCAACATTGTCATCCGATTCAACGTTGTCTTTGCTGTTTGTATTGTCGACATGTGTTTGCTGGGCTTTGGCAGGGGTCTTTTCAAGGATCTTCTGGCACATTATCGTACCCTGGAAATCAAGGAAAGTGTAATCAAAGAAGTTTGCTCTCTCTGATTGTTTCACAACTGAGAAACCAAATTTAGTGGTCCATGTGTTTAGGACACCAGGGACAGCTGGCAATACTAGCCTCTCAACTCCTAATCCCGCGAGTGTCTGGACAGAAAAAACATTATGCGTAATAAAACAAAAGAAGAAACAATTAATAAGTATATATATAATTAAACATTCAAAACGATCATCTGGCTGCACAAGATCACTAAGTTGAGCGTGAAACCTTTGAGATTGTTTCTACCATGAGATAACGAATATTTCCAAATAAATCTTTTCCTACAGAATGTACTTCAGCAACCCCTCATTGGGATCGCTTACCATTGTCACCAGCCTAAATACATAGCCTAAAAATCTTGAATCCGCAGCCAAGCTATCATAAACTTCCCTGCATGAGAAAGAATATACTCGGAGGCCTCCTTTGTTCCTTTGGTACACCTCAACCCCACAAAACTGAACTGAAGAAGAGATGCATACCTTTTCAAGCTCATTAAATAAAATGCGACACATTCCAAGTCGGCGGTGCTGAAATTGTGTTGCAACAAGTGGGATCTCTGCCACCTTCTCTCCATAAACCCTTTGAAATGACAGTAAAAGTAAATAATTAATGTTAAAATTTTGTTTATCACTTTTAGAATCATGGAGAAGTTAACAAGGAAAACAGAACAAGTGGCAGTTCGTCCTGAGAATATAAAACCCTGGAGTACCTTACGGTCGCTACTGAAATGAGTTCGTCATTTCTTTCCAACAGTACGGTGTAGAAGCCTTGGAAATTTAACCGGTTCAGCTCGGACCTGCAATTTCAGATTTTGTTTGTCTTTAGTTGAAATAACTAATGCCCTTCCATTTTTTAATAAAGTCAATTATGAAGTTGAACCCAATGGACCTTTTTTATAAGTAAATGATTAAAATTAAAAGTAGAGCACTAATATGGTGCTGAATAGATAACATCAGTATACTAGACTGACTTCTCTTGAAACTCTGAATCTTACCATCTACTGAATATGACATCTTCGGCGATGTCTCTCCCCGTGAGACGTTCTTTGACCGGTTCAAAGCTGTCGTGCATCACATTCAAAGCGACACAAAGTCGGCTATAGATCTCCACACTGGACTCATCATCAGGTTCTGTATATTTCAACAGTCTCCAGGTGAGGTTATCATTACCCACTATAACCGATTTCTTCAGGAGCTGACGCATACCCAAACATATCTGGAAAAAAAAATGTCTGATAAAATGTCTCAGTTAAAAATCCACTGAAAATGTAAATGGCACTAGTTAGGCATGTTATCACTATGTTTCACAATCAAATATAGCATTCATTTCATTGCACGATTTCGTAAAAGTGCATTCTATAAACTTCTCAACAACTTAAAAGTGCCCTGTAAGGAAAGCACGCTTCAATTACCAGCTTACAACTTTTGTTGCACAACCAATTTCCTACAGGAAAATCATCCAGTTTTTCAAGACCGTTGTTTCTCACACACTGAGCATGATCTGCATGGAATCAAGTATTAATCAGTATAGAAGAGCTCAAAAACTTCACGGGATTATACTGGAAAGATTACAAAATATTGTTGGAACATATGAGAAAGATCAAATAGGTACTCACATTTATGGTTACACTGACAACAAATGAGAAGGGTGTTATCTGTAAATTGTTTTCTGTTTTTATCAAATCTGCTCTCACCACACACTTTACAACAGCATGATGGGCAAAACCAGTCACCATCTGGAACCTCCTGTTTAAACAAATGCAAAATAAAGCAATTGGCTTTTTGATTGAAGATTAAGAAAAAGAAATACACAATATAACAGTATGAAAGAGATACCTTAACCCCAAGGCAATCAGGATGAAATGAAGAAGGGCATCCATCACAGAGTATTAAGTCACCACCATAATGACACACAGAACATATATAGTCATTTTCGGTAAAATGGCTACCCTCTTTGTTTTCTATACTATGTTTGTGTTTCATCTGCATTTGACACTCGAGAAGAGACCTTCCATCCTCCAAATATATATTTGCTGAAGGTCTATTACAGATGCTCCCAGCATGAGCTTCAAAGTTACGAAGACCAAATATTTTTTGGCAGCAATTGCATTTGATTCCTTCACGAGTTATCCGCCCTTCTGCCATTGGATTGCCATTCTTCTTTTCGCAATATTTTACCTTAGCACGCGGCAGGACCACATTTTTGTCTATCAACCAAGATAAAACTGTTCGAGGTATTTGATTAGAGGAAGAAGGAGCCACCTTTCGAGCTCTTTTACTTGATCGCATATCACCATCTCCTTTTTTGAGAGAAGGTCTGGATTTTACATCCGCATGCTTTCTCTTCTTTCTTGATTCCCTTAAAAGGGAGATCAGAGGTTTATCCACCACTGCTGACTGGGAAGACACTTGTTCTGGTAAGTGGCTTTCAGCTTCCCACTTTTTCACACACCATTTGCAAGCTTCCCGAAAAGACAGAAAAGTTTTTCCTTCTGGAGAACAGTAACGAATTCTCTTGTCATTCTTCCCAGCAGGAATTAATTTCCATCCAATTGAAACTAGGTAATTCTTAGCCTTTAGGGTTGTATCCCCTATCTTCACCCCATTTCTATAGGACTTCTGATAGGCAGAAATGTCTTGAGATTTCGGTAAACAATAGTCAATTACAGCTTGGCGGCAGATTTCAGGCTCAATTCTTGGTTCTCCAGGCTCAGTATTTATTTCTTCATTCTGAATTCCTGTTTCTTGCTGCGGAATCTCTGTTTCTTCAAGCTCTTCTTCAAGCTCAATTCTTTTTTCTTCATGCTGAATGCCTGTATTCGCAGGCTCAATACTTATTTCTTCAGTCTCAGCAATTGTTTCTTTATGCAACTCAGGTACCTCTCTGCATGTTGGTCTTTCCATGCAAGGAGACAGGGTGGAGTTATCAGTGTCACCTCTCTGAATGCCTGTTCTCCCAGGCTCAATACTTATTTCTTCAGTCTCAGCAATTGTTTCTTTATGCAACTCAGGTACCTCTCTGCATGTTGGTCTTTCCATGCAAGGAGACAGGGTGGAGTTATCAGTGTCACCTCTCTGAATGCCTGTTCTCCCAGGCTCAATACTTATTTCTTCAGTCTCAGCAATTGTTTCTTTATGCAACTCAGGTACCTCTCTGCATGTTGGTCTTTCCATGCAAGGAGACAGGGTGGAGTTATCAGTGTCACCTCTCTGAATGCCTGTTCTCCCAGGCTCAATACTTATTTCTTCAGTCTCAGCAATTGTTTCTTTATGCAACTCAGGTACCTCTCTGCATGTTGGTCTTTCCATGCAAGGAGACAGGGTGGAGTTATCAGTGTCACCTCTCTGAATGCCTGTTCTCCCAGGCTCAATACTTATTTCTTCAGTCTCAGCAATTGTTTCTTTATGCAACTCAGGCACCTCTCTGCATGTTGGTCTTTCCATACAAGGAGACTGGGTGGAGTTATCAGTGTCACCTCTCTGAATGCCTGTTCTCCCAGGCTCAATACTTATTTCTTCAGTCTCAGCAATTGTTTCTTTATGCAACTCAGGCACCTCTCTGCATGTTGGTCTTTCCATGCAAGGAGACTGGGTGGAGTTATCAGTCTCACCATGTAAACTACTTTGTTCAACTGGGGGAACTACCTCACATATTTTTGACTCTTCCAACACCTGGCAAACTTCACTAATTGATGCACATACCGTTCCATTTGGAGCAACATAACTTTTCTTAACCTTACCACCCTCCCTTTTGAGTTCAAATTTCCAGCCCGTCCATAACAGATGCTTCTTAAATTTTTTTATGGAGGACATAGATGGCATACACTTAGTTATTACTTTTAGGCGAGAGTCAGGTTCAACAGACAGTGACTGCCGAACAAATTTCTTCTTCTTTGTAGCAAGTCTTCCCCTGCGACTCTTAGAATTCACACACTTGCCATTGGACAAAATACCAGCAATCTGATGACTAGTCGGCTTCTTTAATTCTTTTATCAGGGTTGCTTCTGGGCAAGAGTCAGGTTCACTCAATGTCTTCATCCTTTTAGGAGGTCTCCCTCTGCGAGGCTTAGAATTCTCCAAAGTCTGTGTGGTACTAGACAAAATACCCGCAGTCTCATCACTAGGTGGCTTGTTAAATGTTGCTGTTGAGGTTGTGTCTGGGCAAGAGGCAGGTTCACCAACCACAGTCTGCCCCTCATATATCTTCCTCTTTGTACGAGGTCTCCCTCTGCAAGCCTTAGAATTCGCAATAGTCAGTGGCTGACTCTTGGTGTTGGATAAAATACCTGCAATGTCATCAATAGGCAGAAGTAAAACATAGAAATCATGTGTGGTGATACAGACGAATATTCCGGAGGAAATGAACTATAAATATCAATACCACTCAATAGAACATCCTCTGTGGCAGGTGCAGACTCCTCTGAAACAAATTGCTTCTCTACCGGTTGAAGATCTGAAATATCCTGATCCAAAGGCTGTTGAAGATTAGGAACATCCTGATCCACAGGCTGTTGAAGAGGGGAAACATCCTCGAATATCTTCTCCTTAATTGTTTTTGTCGAGTTTTCCCCTCGACAAGAGTCAGGTTCACCAACCCGGGTCCGTCCCTTGAATATCTTCTTGAGTTTTCTAGGTCTCCCCCTGCCACGCTTAGAATTCGCAAAAGTCGGTAGTTCACTCTCAGTACTGGACAAAATACCTGCAATGTCATCAATAGGCAGAAGTAAAACATAGAAATCATGTAGTGATACAGACAAATCTTCTTTTTAGCTAGGAGGAAATGAACTACAATTATCATTACCAGTCATTTGAACATCCTCTGCGGCAGATGCAGACTCCTCCGAAACAAATAGCTTTTCTACAGGTTGAAGATCGGAAAGATCCTGATCCATAGGCAGTGTGGCCGCACTATCTAATGTACAAGCAGCTTCAGTAAAGGGTGCAAAGTACACTTTAGGGTTCAGTTCAGCTATAAATGCAGGTTCTGAAAATTCGAGCGACTGACATCCCTCTCCAAAGATCTGTGAGGAGTTCAGTTCAGAAAGAAAATGCTTGACAGTTAACTTTGTACTGTCATGCACAACTTCCTTCACCAGTTTCCTCCAAATATCTTTCGAAGAAGATGTCCACTGCTTGAGATGTTCATCAAAATCATCCTTCAGCTGCACTTCATACCAAATTTGTTTAACCGAAACTAAGAGTGGGTTTAGCTTCTTAATTTCCTCAATCACTTGAAGAAAAGTCCATGAGCCACGGGGCGTCCATACTTCTGTAACCTCATCCCAGTCTTGAGATATACGCAACTTGTCTATCTTTGCCTTCATTTCGTCACCCAATTCTGGGAAGAAGACCTTTCTCTCCTCATGACCTTCCTCACGGTCAAATAATACACCCTCCCACCACGCATCTTGGTAGAAGCAATCGACACACTGACCATAAGGCCAGCTGCCAAATTCACAAGGAGGTGGCGATGGCCTGATCATACCACATTGATGAACTGGCCGTTCATCATCAGGTAGGACCCCATCAATTATTGGAGAAATGTTTACCACTTCAACCAATTTGCCAGAACCCCGCTCTGACCATATAAACTCATATTCAACTTCACGAATCAAATCACTACAACTAACCACAGTACCCAAATGCCACGAACCCAAAAATCCATCTTCAACACTCTTCACCTGCATAAACCACAATGCAGTAATTAATGAGGTGAAAAGGTTAAGGCCATGAAACAACAATCTTGACCCATCACATACGCTTTACAGCCTTCAAAACACCCAAAACAAACCATGTGCCTTTTTGAAGTAACAATTGAAAGGGAAATAGCATTGATGCTGAGATAAAACTTTGTATGCACAATCAACAACAATAACAAAAAACTTAGTCTAATCCCACAATTGAGGTCTGAGACCGAAAGACCCTCGACTAAACAAACACAGAAAAAGAGGCAATTGAACTTTGTATACAGAATGAAACCCCAAAAAATTAAACTCCCTTGACTAGTTCTATCTAATCATTCCAGTCTCCTTCACATCCATGAAACATTAAACCAATTTTTTTTTTAAAATCCCACTTTCAACATGCTGTTATCCACTGTTATACAAATGTACACAGAAAAAAAGAGAAATATATAGATAAAACACCTATGTGGGTAAATCAAAATCAACTTAAAGAAGCAATTTTTAACAAAACGTTATAACCAATGAAACCTAAAAATCAAAACCCAAAATTCAATCTGCCCTCATTTTGTACACCATATACATATACAACATTTATTAAAATTCAAAGAATCAAACCTCATTTGCTTAACCCAAAATTCTAATTAACAAAAATGTTGATCAAAACCATTCTTTTTACTGATTAATCTTTCATTTCCAACAAAGAAGAAATCATATCTGAACTGGAAAAACAAAATTCAGATGCTTAGATCAATTCAAAACCAAAACAGAAATGAATCAAAAAATCGAAAAAAAAAAAAAAAACTGAAAACAGAGCATTTTAATCACCTCAACTTTTTGATCAACACCCAATTTCCGATGTGCTCCTCTGTCAACTTTGTGCTTTCTTTTCCTCATAACTCGCTCAGGTTCGACCGCCATTGAAGAGTAAAACTTCCTTTGAAAGTGATTGGGGAGTGATGGGGTTTATCAGTTACACTATCAGTTTTCCAAATTTAGTAGAGATTTATATTTTTATACATATATAAAAATAACAATTAAAAAAAAACCTGTATCTAATGGTTTTTATTCAATCGCGAATTTGTCGGGTTACATTTTGTCCTTCTCTTTCCAAATTGTAAGCAAAAAGGGAAAAAATATTAGTACTCTCTCTGTTTTGTTCTTCCGGTTTTCTCCCTGAAATATATATATATTTGAAAGGAGTTAACATGCAAGACCTTCATTTTTGTTGTATATCCCAAAAGAGAAATTATATATTTGTACTATATAATACTTTCATCACTTATTTCTTGTGTTGTTTCAATAAGTTGATAGGTTATGTTTTTATAAGTTCAGTTTTCGATATTTGTTTTGGGATTTTGATTAATTTAGATTCAGGTTGTTTAGAGCTGAGTCGTAGTGATGGTTATGAATTTAACGGAAATTTAATATTTTTTGGCGCGTATCATATAGTATATTTTTTGGCTTACCATTTTATTTTTGGTACTTGTTTTGAAACTTTTAGTTAGTTTGGACTCGCGCGCTGTCAGGGCAGAGTCACAATAGAAGTTATAAATTTAACGGAAATTTAATAAGTTTTGGCGGGTATCTTATAGTATATTTTTTTGCCTTACCATTTTATTTTTCGGTACTTGTTTCAACTTTTAGTTAGTTTGGACTCGCGCGCTGTCAGGGCAGAGCCACAATAGTAGTTATTAATTTAACGAACTTGAATAATTTGGTGCGAATCTTAATAGTATATTTTTTTTCTGTTTTATAGTTTTATTTTCGGTACTTGTTTTGAAACTTTTAGTTAGTTCAGACTCGCGCGCTATCAGGGCAGAGTCACAATAGTAGTTATAAATTTAACGAACTTGAAAATTTTTGCGCGAATCTTAATAGTATATTTTTTTCTGTTTATCATTTTATTTTCGGTACTTGTTTTGAAACTTTTAGTCAGTTTTGGACTCGCGCTGTCACAGGCAGTGTCATAATAGTAGTTATAAATTTAACGGACTTGAGCAATTCGGTGCGAATCTTATAATATGATTTTCTGTTTTCCGTTTGATTTTTGGTATTCGTTATGAAATTTTTAGTTTGTTTGTTTTTGCGCGCTGTCACAGTAATAAGACACTGCAATAATTATTAATTTAACATAATTGAATGATTTTGCGAATCTTACACTTATGTGAAAAATGTATGAAAAATCTTATCCATAACCCAGTAAGTAATAAAATTATTATTAAAAACTCGTAATTCCACAATTTTAATTTCTTCGCATGTTATGTAAGATCTATTAAAAAGAAAAACAATCTTTAGTAGAATTTTGTTTATGACTAGCAAAAGAATGATGGAGATAGGAAGCAGCAGGGGTGGCATAGAATTCAAAATAGAATCGAATCGAACTAATTTAGTTCTTCCATTTTTTTAGGGAAAATTACAGAAATCACATACTTTTTAGGCAAAATTACAATCTATTCCTTAAAAGTTTATAATTACAAACATCCCTCAAACGGATACAATAATATAAGCGCTGATACACTAAATTGATGCATGAGATACATTAATCGTTAAGTAAAATACATTACATTTTATACATGATACACTAATCTGATGCGCGAGATACACTAATCTGATGCGCAAAAAATGAGGGATTTCGGAGATTTGTAAAACTTATAGGGGATAATAGTAATAAGTAAACTAAAAGGCGGGATTTCAGTAATTTTTTCTTTTTTTTATCAATGTCTGTGCTTTTTTCAAAAGTTCGATAATTCAACTTGGTGTTCAGTGTAATGGTCTCAAAATCTCGGAGCACTGAGAAATTGAACTTTTATTAATTTTTAATAGAATATCTATACATATTGTATTCGTTATGAAATTAAATTAATTTGAATTCGAGCTGTCCGCCGCAGAGTCATAGTGGTGGATATGAATTTAACGGAAATTTAATAACATATGGCACGAATCTTTTATTTTTTCTGTTTATCATTTTTATTTTTGATACTTGTTTTAGAATTATTTAGTTAGTTTACTTGCGCTCTGTTAGTGGCAGAGTCACAATAATGATTAAAAATTTAAAATAGTCATCTCAAATTATTTTTTATTTTAGAAATGTAAAATAAAATTAATTATTATTTTCTATTTTTTGACATAATAGTAATTGTTCTTGAAGTACAATTTAATTATGGGGTGATGGTACAATGCTAACGTGTATTTGGCATAAATTTTGGGTCATATTCTAAAAAAAATTATCTTCAAATATCTAGTTGTTCATGAAATTTTCATCAGATTCTAAAAAAAAAATATTCAAATCTTTTCATGTTCCCTCCATTTTTTGGAATTTTAAGACTTCCACTCACAAAATCTCAAATTATTTTTAAGTAAAATGTATGTCCAAATATAATTTAAGTTTTAAAATTACAATTTTGAAAATTTTAAATTTTAAATTTTATATTGTAAATCTATGATCAAACAAAAGCACAATGTAGTAAATATCCAAGGAAAAATATATCATTAAAATAGTCAAAACCTTTTTTCTTCTATTTTTAAAAACGTGTTTTAAAAAAAATAGGATGAATAATTTGAAGAGCAATAATTAGAAAGAGTTAATAATAGTACTAGATCTCATCGAAAATGCCAATCATATAACCTATGCTAGTTTTAATGATTACTTTTGGTATAATTTTTTATTTTAGTCTTTACTGTATTTGGCTAATCACATTAAATTCTCAATTAATTGAATTGTTTACTTTTGATCCTTTCCTTTATCCTCAAATTTACCAAACATTAATTATTTTCAGTACTTAATAACTTATGTATTATATCAATTTTTTGTCTTTTGATATGTAACGATAACTATAATTTTATAACATATTTTCCATTAGAATGCATCAAAAATATATTCACATGTCCCTAATTATTTGTCCACTTTTGAATTAACACACCTATTAAAAAAACAAAACAATGAGTTTTCTATTTTACTCATATTAATTATTAAGTGGATAAATTAAAAACTTTAGATCTCCAAAAAGTTTTATCTTTTTCAAAGTAATTAATTGAGGGTATAATAGGGTGTCTATTTTACTCTTGTTATTAAATATTATTGATCATCTTACACATTTTCAAAAACATTAAATTTAATACAGTCAAAGGTTAATATAATAGTAATATTATCTCTATTATTTATTATTTCTTAAAAAGTATGTCAAATCAATAGTAGACAACTATTATATGACATCTCATCAATATTTGAGTAAAAAATATGACTTTCGAATTATGTTTTGAAGTTTGAACTAGTAAATACTATTTCCTCTGTTCCTAATTACATGTCCACTTTTGAATTGACACACCTATTAAGAAATCAATAATTGACATAGTAAGTTTACCATTTTACCCCTATTAATTATGAAGTAGATCAAATAAAAACTTAATATTTTCAAGAAGTTTTACCTTTTTCAAAGTATTAATTGAGGGTATAATAGGTAAAAAAATTGTTCTTTCTTGATTTGTCAAAATGGACAAGTAATTAGGGACAACTAAAAAATAAAATGTGGACAAGTAATTAGGAACAGAGGGAGTATCAAATAAAAAGACAGTAATAAATATTGTACTAATATCTATAGGACTTAAATTATTACTCTCTCTATCCAAAAATATTTGTTTATTATTGACTTTGCACACTTTTTAAGAAACTATAGATAAAAGAGCAATTCTACCATACTACCCATTTGAATATAATAAATACAATATCTTGTAAATGTAATACGAAAATTACTATAATTACTAATAAGGGTAAATTAGGAACTAAGTGTAAAATTATCCATTTATTTCATAAAGTGGACAAGTATTGTTGGACATGTCATAATAGTATAATGGTATAAAAAAGGCTAAAGTATTCATTACCCCCCTGAACTTGAAGCTTTTTATTTGTTGTACACCTAAACTATATTCTGTTTTAATTATCCCCTAAACTTGTTTATTCCTCCATCACGTACACCGTTTTTGTCCACCTGCTCCTATTGTGATTACACGCGCACGATAGCTGACAAAAGTGGTGATATGAATTTCCACCTGGATAAATAATAACCACCTAGATAAATTAATATGGCAAAAAATAAATATCAAACATTCATTGTTTAAAAGTTATTTTTGAATAAGGGCTGATTTCGCGGAACTCCTTCTGGATTTGGGTTTTTCTAGATGTGAAGTTGGTCGATTAAATTTTAAATTTGTCAGAAATTCTTACCAAATAAGTGTTAATCTTTGTTTCCTTTACTTTTCATTTACATTTTGCCCAATTTTTCGTTTAAAATATGCCAAACATTAAAGAAATATGGAGATTTTACGTTTTTTTACCGTTGTAGCTTTATGATGTGGCAAAAGATCACTTCCTCACGCGCCTAGTAAAGTATGTTGTCAATTTCTATGCCAAGTGGACAATAAAGGTGCACACGATGGAGGAATAAACAAGTTCGGGGGTAATTAAAATGGAATATAGTTTAGGTGTATACCGAATAAAAAGCTTCAAGTTCAGGGGGGTAATGAATACTTTAGCCTATAAAAAAAAGGGTCATAAATAGTCTCTTAACTACAGAAATAGGTCTAAAATAGTACATTAACTATACTTTTCTCGTATAGTGGACATTATTATTGGACATACACTATTATTGGACTGGAGTTCTAGGCTCTTCAAATTTATCAAAAATTTATTTTATATATAATTATAAATATTAATTGAAATTATACTTCCTATGTCCCTAATTACTTGTCTACTTTTGAATTGACACGCTTATTAAGAAAATAATGATTGACATAATAAGTTTACCATTTACATCTATTAATTATGAAGTGGAGGAATTAAAAAACTTAAGATTTCAAAAAGTTGTACTTTTTTCAAAGTATTAAATTGAGGGTATAATATATAAAAAAAAAATTTCTTTCTT